CCCACATCTTAGTGTCATCAGCAAATTTGAACAGGGTGCTTTTCACCCCCTCGTCCAAGTCACTGATGAAGATGTTGAACAGCGCGGGCCCGAGGACCGAGCCCTGTGGAACCCCACTGCCCACGTCCTTCCAAGCTGAGAAGGACCCATCCACTACCACCCTCTGGGTGCAGCCCTCCAGCCAGTTGGCGACCCATTTGACTGTGTGTGTGTCTATGCCACAGCCTCCCATTTTCTTAATGAGAACAGGGAGAGACAGTGTCAAAAGCCTTCCGGAAGTCCAGAAAGACTATGTCCACTGCTACCCCTGCATCTAATGATCTGGTGATCTGATCATAAAAAGCCACCAGATTGGTCTGACAGGACCTGCCACTGATGAACCCGTGCTGATTGCCCCTAAGCATGCAGTCCCCTGCTGTCCCCTCCTGGATGTGTGCCAGAATTATTTTCTCAAACAGTTTGCCTAGGATCGAGGTAAGACTAACTGGCCTATAGTTTGTGAAGATGAAAAACACTGAGTGCCAAATATTACAAGACAGCTTTTCCACTGGCTGACTTGGAAAGCACCAGAATATTAAGCTCTTCGTTTGCATTTGTTTTTCTAACGTATAGGCCGAAGACCAGCCAGACTCGTTATGCTGTAGACAAAGGTGCACAACTGCACACAAGCTCCATAGCACACTCAGATGCTGCGGCTGATCTCACCTTCCCAGGAGCACACATTGTGCCATCCAGCGGAGGTCCCTTCTTCGTCTTGCAGAAGTAGGGGTTATCGGGATGGCTGCACCACAGCTGCTTGCAGGGATCGAACGTACGGAACTACAACACAGGGAAGTCAGAGCACGTGACACAAAACCCCATTAGAAACAGGCTCTCCTGTATTATATTCTTCCCCCTCTACGATGGCTAGATGGTGTCTCTAAGTTTAAGGACTATTTAAAGTCCATGGGGAGTTGCATAGGTGTGGCGCTTCTACACAACGACATCATTAACTCTGATGGTGAAAGAAGGTGCAATGGAGTCATGCCAGAGATGGAAAGTTGGCTTCATCTGAATGGTACAGGGCAGAAATGGCAGGGGCATTTACCCATCCCATCTACCAAAACACGCACACCCTCTTCTCAGATTCTCCTGCTGCTGCTGCTTCATGGAGCGGATGCTACTTAAAATATTCACTGGGCAGGAAAAGGAGTCCATAGCCCAGTCATTGTGTCACTCACGTGGGAGGCAGCAGATCTGTGTTCCAGGCCCCGATCCAATGAATATTTAAATATTTTCTACAAAGTGCAACAGAGTCAAGGAGACACCAAGAAGGCCCTAAATGCCCTCTTGCCTTAGTGCTCCTGGAAGGCAGGAGCTCTAATGTCTGCTGTGAACCAGGGGATTTACACCCACATCTCCTGCATCCCAAATAAGTGCCCCTCCCAGTGAGCTATTGGGTCTGCTGCCTGGGGACAACTTGCTTTGCTTTGGTTAAAAGACGTCTGAAATGCAATGAAATAAAACATTTTAATTTTCACCAGGGTTAAAACAAGGGAAAAGAGAAAACATTTCATGTCGGTTCGATCCAAACACAAACGTCCATTTTTCACACAGTCGTTTTTGCCAGACCAGACTCAGCGGGACCGTGTGTGTACGCAGTATTACAGCTGAGTCTTACCAGAGTCTCCTGTTCATTCCTTGGAGACACGGCTCCTCGCGCCTGTATCTGCAGATGGGGTTTGAACCAGGACTCTTCTGTGCTAGCAGCTGCTGCACCAACTTCACGCTTCTCTGTGCAGTGCTGTCATTTCTGTCCCACTTTTAGGAGCCAGAAGTAAATGGCAAAGCTCTACCAGATGTCCCAAGTGATCATCTTCCCCCCAAACCACCCCAGGCATGAACTTACCTGCCATTACATATATGCTTTACATTTGGCTACTATATTCGTGGTAACAGAGACGCAGTTGCCGGTGAATACCTGCACAAGCTTTCCTGTTCACCTGGAGCCCCCTTGCCCCCATTATGAATGATGATGCACCATCATTTCCAAAAAGAAAGTCATATAAAGACAAAGCGTCTTGCCATATAGGAGCAGCAAATGTGAACATTAAGCAAGCAAGAGAAGAAAACAACTGCCATTTCTCACGGGCGTAGGTGGGAGCTGTGTGGAGTTACGTGAAGAGGCCAGCGACGGTCCTGGCAGGCTTTGGTTCTGAAATATGGAACTACTTCTGAAACTAGGGTGTGATATATTTGTCAGAGCTTTGACTTTTAAAGAGTCCCAACAATGTTAAAAAGGAATTTCCCTGTCAAGAAGTTCATCTGTTATCCCTGGCTTGCAGTGAGCTGGATGCAATGTCTCTCCTTGAACATCTCACCCTATTGTCTTTTCTAAGGCCATCTTAGGGACAGTTGCAACACTCCTGGATGTGGGGCAGGGGAACTCAACTGAATACTCACAGCCGTGCACATCATGTAGCCCAACCCAAAATCAAACCGGCACTGCTCATTCATGGAGTAGTGAATTCCTGGCAGCTGGGGCAGGGACGGCCAGTCGTGTTCAAAGGGATCATCACGCAGACAATCGTAAGAGCTGCAAAAGGCAAGAATTACAGTCACAGATGGGAATGGGAGACTTCAACAGTCATCATAGTTTCCCTGTGGTTTGGGTCCAACCAAAATAAGGAGTGCAGTTTTCCGACTGGCTCGCAGAGCAGTCAGGACTTTAACAAGGCCTGTGTGGTTCCTACCAGGCTGTGTAAGAACTGAACGTGGGGCAGAGAACTCTAGCTGTCTCCTGTAATTTCAATTTAGCTTCCAGGTAAATGACTAACTCCTCGAGGCCTGTATGGGAAAGCAACAGAGGAAAATTCTCCCCAAATGTGCCTGAGAAGAAAAGAAAAGGTTTAATTACATTTTCCCTTTGCAAAATGTCTTCCTATGTGTTGTCTTTCAGGTGCAGCTTTAGAGGCAGAAGGCAGCGTGGCTATCCAAGAATACTGCTGAGTGCCACCATACAGTCCTGTGCTGTGCTCCTGGAGGAGCAAGTCCCCATACGAGCAAGTGTGCCTTTTGGTCTGTGCTTTATTAAACAGCAAGGGCTGTCCTGTCTTCGTCGTTATTCTGACAGTTTTGTCCTCGCTTCCAAAAGCCTCACAGGCTTTTCTTTCTCTGTGCAGGGGACAAGGGATTCTTCTGCTATCTTAAGCAATGCCTGTTTCTGCCAATGCACTTGAAATATGTCTGGATAAAAAACCTAGTGCACAGAGGATCCTGATGGCATCATTAATGGATGAGTACGGTATAATTGAGAGTTAAATTCAAAGTTACTATCCCAAGTGTCATATGGCAGACAGGCTCTCTGCTACACACATCAGTGAATTAACATATCTAGAATATCACAAAAATAGCTCAGGTGTCCTCATTAAATTTAACCATCGACCTATCTGTTAAGCTCATTTCTTTGCTCTGATGGTCACACTTGCGTTTGCCTGCCATTATTCATCGCATCCGCACAACCCTTCATTATGAAAACTGCCAATCAGAAGTCCATCTCAGATCTGAGTCTGTGTGTTTGCTGCACGACCAAAGGCAAACTGCTCTGCATTTGGCAATTATTCAAGTTGCCCTAATGATCCCCGGGGACTAGGGACAGAATTATGCATCTAGATCTACTTTTGAACAAAACAATGCTCCTGTTTTAGCTGGGAGCTGTTTTTATTAATAGAAACTCTTTACTACACCTGCATTTTTTAAAAAAAAAATCAGGGCTCTTAGCCAGATGGCTATTATTTATTATGAAGCTTAAAGAGACACTATTAATTGAGACATCACACTTCTCCTTGACCATTTTTTAGGTACTGTTGTCAAAAGGAACACCTAAGATATTATCACTTCAAAATAATTGCAAAAAATCAAGACTGGTTTCTTTGCATTAGTTTATCCTTTTCTAGTCGTTCTCCCAGCTCCCCCTATACGGTCCATTAGTAGGTTTTCCTATGCTGTTTGTTGGCATCTTTCACGCAGCAACAAGGCATATATGTACAGATATATTCATATAGGAAAAACATGATTAAATATCATGAGCATTGGCAGGGGATATGGAAGGAGTGGCTCATGTACAAAGGAAAGAAAAAAATACAGAGCTGTTGAGAAGAGGGGTAATGAGCTAGCTTTTGTGCCAACAGGGTATTTAAGAGAAAGGAACCACAAAAAGTAGACCTGAGGGCTGTAGTCTGCCTTTTGATGCCCATTCAAGCACAGGAGATGGCCTGTGAACACATCCAACGGCAGAACTTTCCCCTTAAAGCACTACAGTAAAATGCAATGGGGCTTGGTACAACTTTGGTGGTAGGAAACACCTCTGATGCTACCAACCAGAGGTGCCACCAATCCTTCAGTTATATTTTACACTGATGAGTGGCACTCAAACAAATAAGACAGGTTTTATGTCCAGGTGGGAGGAAAGTGAGTTGCTAATGAGAGCAATAATAATATTTACAGGTCTGGGAGGAGAGCCGCACAATATCACCCTTCTGTAATGGCAATGACGTGGAACAAAGCAGCAGTCAATGTGAGCATTAATTGTCTGCAGTTCCTGGGAAGGTGTTTCACACTTACCAGGTTGGGGGGGCTTTCTTTTTGGTTTGATTTTGGGTAATCCAGGTTAGTATTAAAAGTCCAATATACAAGTGTTGCATTCAGAGATGCTGAACATGCTTCCTAACCAAAGAGGAGAGTCAGGTTAATAGCTACTCACTGCAGATAGCGGTTTAGCTCTTGTTGGCTACAACGAGACCAGTGGAAGCGATGGAACGCAGCCTGCACGAGGGGGGCCATGATGCTCCCCAGCCGGACTTCATCACCGCACCTGTTCCCCTGGCCGTCATGCTCCATGCCTAATCTAGAACAGAAGATGGGAGAAGCGGCAGATGGCTCATCAAGGGTGAGAACTTAAGTGGCTCAGGTCCCTAAGTCCCACTGAAAGTCAAGGAGACTTCATGCTCCTGAATCACTTGGGGCATGTCCACATAGAGAAGCTGTTGGAAAATAAGCCAGAGCATGACTTAAAAAGTGAAAAACTATTGTGCAGTAGTTCCCATATGGACTCTCAGACCTTTGTGAGGACAAGGAAAGCACACATGAAGAACTAGCGTAGAACAGCTCCGGAGCTGCAGCAAATCCAGATTCTGGGCTACTTCTCAGTTAGACAAATCTTTAGGTTCTTTTAAAAATGTTACCCCAAGTGACAGAGAGCAGCTTGTTATTACCCTTGTCTTTATTAAAAACACTTTCCCCTTGGTGCTTTATTAAGATTTCTACTGCAATCTTCTCTGACCAATGTTCAACTAATATCAGAGGCTCCTTTCAGGCAACACATGGTTGGTCACCAACACTATGGTAGCGTGTTGTGCCTCTAAATGTTTTCAAAAGCTAAGAGGCATTTTAGAGATATACCATCTAATCTGCTCATAGGTTTCTTTTAACCATAGCTCCAAAAGTGCTGAAAACAAAAGTTAGCAACCCAAGGAACAAATTTCATGTAGGCATCAATTTTGTGTCCCTCTGATTAATATGCACGAATAATAAGATTCAACGATTCAGGCAAAAGCTCCTAAAGTAAAGCACAGTAAAGCCTTCAATAATTGTTGAAACAAGAAACAGAAAAAAGTGCCTGCTGGCTTTCATGGGGAAAAGGTATAACAGAGTGAATCTGTTCAGTGAAGGGATTTATGGGATTTGTTATTCTATCGAGGTGGTGAAGGCAAGTAAATGAGTGTGCTTTATTAATAAATAAACCAAGTTACTTTAAAATTGCAGATCCACCAGCTTGTTGCATGCTCCAAGTTTACCATGGAAACAATTCATGTCATATCCTTTATATAAAGTATATGGAATGAATGTAGCTTCAGGCCTTGGCCTATGTTACTGCATAGTAACTGGTCACGTGGCTTGTATGCAACATTATAGTGTATTACTAGAAGCTGATTCATAGATTCATAGATTCATAGATTAAGGGTCGGAAGGGACCTAGTAGATCTTCTAGCCCGACCCCCCGCCAGGGCGGGAGAACAACAAAAACCCCAAAAAGAGAAATGGGACTCAAACGAGTCCAGCTAGGTGGGCATCCAGCCTCTTCTTAAAGACCCCCAGGGTAGGGGCCAGCACCACTTCCCTTGGAAGTTGGTTCCAGCTCCTAGCCGCCCTAACGGTGAAGTAGTTTTTGCGGATGTTCAATCTATACCTCCTCTCCAACAGCTTGTGCCCATTTCTCCTTGTTATGCCAGCGGGCGCTAGGGGAAACAGCGTCTCCCCCAAACCCCTCTGGTCCCCCCTAGTGAGTCTATAGACAGTCACCAGGTCCCCCCTTAGCCTTCTCTTGTGGAGGCTGAATAGGTTCAGGTCCCGCAGTCTCTCACTGTAGAGTCTGCCCTGTTGTCCCTGGATCATGCGGGTGGCCCTCCTCTGGACCCTCTCCATATTGTCCACATCCCTCTTGAACTGGGGCGCACAGAACTGGACACAATACTCCAGCTGTGGCCTGACCAGTGTCGCATAGAGGGGGAGGATCACCTCTTTGGCTCTACTCGAGATGCACCTGTGGATGCACGACAAGGTCCGGTTAGCCTTGCCAACCATGACCTCGCATTGTCGGCCCATGTTCATCTTGGAGTCAATAATGACTCCAAGATCCCTTTCTGCCTCCGTGCTCTCGAGTAAGGAGTTCCCCATTGTATAAGTGTGTAAGTGATGTAAGCAGAGTACCGTATTTACCCCAATACAAGATGACCCTGAATTTAAGACAACCCCCAAATAATTATATAGATGGAAAACTTATAAATGTATTATAACTTTCCATGTATGGAATCTAATTATTAGAGGATTAAATTCATCCCTCCCCCACTACTGCAGGTGGTAGGGGGAGAGGTGAGGAGGAGGCCAGTAACGGGGCAGGCAGTGAGGGGACAGACAGTGCAAGAGGCAGTAATGGGGACATGGTAGGGCACGTGGTGGGGGGCAGGCAGTGAGAGACAGGCAGCTTGCCCCCTTTCACCTGCCCTCCCGATTTACCCCCTCCTCCCTCCAATCAGGTCCCAGATCCCCCCTCCCCTGTCCCCACCTATTCCTTGCTCCATGCCACTTATGCCCCCCTGCAGCCTCCAGTGCCCCCTTCCCCCTCTCTCTCCCACCCCCCTCAATCTCCTGCTTATCTTTGCTGCATGTGGGTAGGCTCTGACCCTGCTGCAGCCCAAGGCACTGAGCATGGCTCCAGCCCATGCCATAGCAGAGGAGCAGAGCCGGCACTGCTGCTGCAGGGCCAGGCTGAGGTGAGGACAGAGCCTGCAGGCATGAAGCAAAGGTAAGGAAGAGTGCAGCAGAGGGGGAGAGAAGGGGAGAGGTGGTATGGGGGAAGCGGGGAGCAGACTTGAGACAGTGGGGGCTTGAGACTGTGCAGGAGGCTGAAGGGGTCCAGAGGCAGCAGTGGCCCTGGCCCTGGAGCAGCTGCCTGCCCTCTGCCACCTTGTACTTGACTGTAAGGAGAGGGGCTTCTTCCCCCATGTTAGCTGGGGAGAATAACTCACTGTCTAATCAAATCAATATGGTCAGTGTATGCAAGTTACTAAAGATGGTTTTCATGAATCTTGACTTGTAATGAATCAAGGAATTCACATTCCTTAATAGTAAAAATACTCTGCATTTCTCCTAGGCGACTACAATGCATTGATCAGCTTTATCTCGTATTATTCTTGGGAAGAAACATCACTTCCCTGTGACAGCTAGATATTCCCTGACCCAGAACACTTCAGCGGCTGGCCAGAGATCACACGGGAAGTCATTGTGAGAACCAAGACTGGAATCAAGGTCTAATGCTTTATACTTGCCTCTGAGCCACAGCACCACATCTTCCCAACCCCCAAAATATTTCCCAGCATCAAAGCCATGAATGGATAAGACCTGTTAAAGCACCACTTACACATGTCCAGTTTCATGGGCCACCACAAAGGCAGAGGAAAAACCATCTTCATGGTTGAGGGTGCAGCTTCGTACGGGATGACACATTCCAGTAACTGGAGCGTAACCTAGGACAGAGCACGTAGTTCAGGAGGTAAGGGAAGACAAGCAAGGGAGTGTGCCTGCAAAGCCTCACTACGGCGCCCGCCTGTCATGGCATCTCGCATGGAAGAAGAATTTCCAAAAGTGCCGCCGGCATCGGGGCTCCAGACAAGGAGCGGGCAGCTCACCAGGGCGCGCACACCCAACAGACACTTCCAATCAACAAGTTCCAGCCCCACAACATTCATATCCTAGCCGTTAGTTAAGCACCAAATGACTATTAAGAGCCAAATTCTGTCCCAACTTAGACAGAGGGACAGCTGGCATTGCGTGCCAGACATTTCCGGGCCCTCTTCCTATGGTGAGATGAGAATGATTCTCCAGCATTTCCACTTGCTCTCAAATAATGTAAGCAACCTTCTTCCTTCAGGAAGGCAGGCTAGTCAATCATGAGATGCGTTTAGACAGTAACTGGATTTCAGATTCAACTCTAAGCACAAATGTTTTTGCAGTACAACTTGTTCAACACTGAACTACCTGGTAGATAACCAGTGATGTGCCTATAAAAGACAATGCCATGCTGGGAACGCTGCTGGTGAACAGGGCAGCCGTATTTCAAGAATGCACAGAAACCAGACTCCATGTCAATCAAGGATTATCACACACACAAGAAAGCATATTAGTCTCACAGATCATCCATGCAACTGAAGTGCTTCTTTTAAAGGTAACAAGAGATTTCTACTCTGAACTTTTAATTAATGTGCTCCCTCAGCTATGAAATATAGGAAGAGAGCCAGCTGAACAAATTACATTCTTGTCATGGTTCACCAAGAATGCAGTGTAATCTCCTTCTGGGCCATTCTGCATCTGGTCTCATACAGCCAGGTAAGGGGAAAGGTAGGGAGGGAATGAGGGCCCTGCCTAGCCTAGTGTCAGTGCACAGGGGCACAAGGAAATACCAGTCGTTAGGGAGTAAAAAGAGAGTGGCACTAACCAATTTAGTGTTAGAGGGCAGGAACTGTAACATCCACCCCTCTGATCAGAGCTGTTCTCATATGGGCTCAGATCATATCCAGTACCCTGCAAAAAGGTAAAAATGAGCTACTCTTGGTGATGCTGATCCTGATGCTTGTGGCAAAGGACATCTCCTATAGCACAGTACTTCTGGAAGTTCCTGCTGAAGTACTGCAATCACTACTTTGCAGTGGTGTCTTGGGGCAAAAGCTACCCAACAGCGTGTCTGGGACTATTCGCGACCATTTCTAGAATGGTCAAGACAATGCACAATAAACCGATCACCTTAAACAACCCCAGTATCACAGAGATGGCAACACAAAGGGGACTGAATCAGAAACGAGGTAATCTGAAGTCAAATGGTGCTTGGCAAAATACTTAATGCTGAAAGGTAACTATTAGTGAGCGCAAAACTTTACTTTTGTCTAAATGGTGACAGAAAAGCAATGCAGTAGTCATCAGGGTTGTAGGTGACTATCACTTGGTGGATGCCTACCTTGCATGCCAGATGGACCAAAATCCTGTCGTGTGAGAAAAATAGCGTGGTCGTGATATTCTGCATGTCCAGTGTCAGGCTTCTGTTGCAGATAGGCCCAGCGACATACGTTCTCCAAACTCTGAGAAGGGTTCCCAATCTCTATTAAGCTCATGGACTAGATATTCCAGGAAGAAAAGGATCACAGTGATTATTTATGTCAGTCAGCCTTTCCTACAGTGTTCCCTCTAAAGAAATATTCTGGCATTTGCTCAAACACTATACAAAACCCCCATTCAGATGGAGGGAGAAATGTATTATACAAAGACAGCATGAAAATATCGCATCTAATACATGTCAGTTATGGCATCCGCACATATTTTATCTTGCCTGGATGAGCTGCAGGACAAAGGGTGCGAGTAATTTAATAACACGCAGTATTACTTTGTGTGCCACATGTTGTTACCGTCTCTTTGTGTCATCACAGTGCCTATGAGCATCACCCATAAACCTGCACCCTCCTGGGCAAGGGACTGAGCCAACACAGAACGGCCCCAGTCCCAGATGTCTCAGATTATGAAGGCAAGAGATAACAAATGGATACAGACGGACAGGAGAGTACAGGAGCACAAATAGAGGAAGAGGCCCCCCACTTCATATTTGCCCTCATGGTAGAAAACCTGGTTTATTCCCTCTGTCTTTTTTTCTGAAAAGAGTTACCTTGATGATAATTGTTTGTAGGAAAAACTAACTGGGCAATACTTGAGTCCTCAGCTTTCTTCTAGTCATCCCAATTTGTGACAGAGGTGTAATAAGGACATACCGCCTGTCCCACTGCTCTGTTGTCTTCTTCTAATGATGGCCAATGATCAAATGTTGAATCTGATTCTTTCAGATCTATCTTTGATACCATTTGCCATGAATTGTTGCTGACCTGTCTGTCAACCCTGAATAAATTGCTCGAGTTGGTTCATCCTCTGGAAGGCAGATCCTTCAGTCAAGGATTCTCTCGGAGAGGACTGCACAAATCTCTGTTCCTTCAGGTCTCGTGTTCAATTTGGATGTGAGGCTGCTGGGAGAGTACATTAGATGACATCTGCTTCCATGTCTCCATTTAATCAGGTCTGGATGGTACGGTCACTTATCAAATGTTCAGCCAACGTTGAATTTAGATGGCACTTAACTGGTTGAAACATGCCAAGGGGATGCTTTCTGTTTGAGGAAGCAACTGGAAAGATTATGCCCATGCCAATGCAGACAGTAGAGTCTGAGGTCTTTCACTGGGCCTTTGAATGCCACAGGATGTCCAGTTCAATGCAATGGCTACGTGAGCTTGCTTTCAGGCATGGACCTTTCCATCGTTACCCACAATTCTCCCCTCAGCAGTAGATTACTTCAATCCATTCTACAACTGGAAACGTGTGGCTGCCCACCCACTCAGCAGTATTTCCTATCTTATATGTATGGACCTGCTGAAATTGTGATTTTGTGGAAATCATGAAATATGGCATAGCCTGCACCAGCAGGCCAAGTCTGCAAAATTCACGAAATTTGTGAAAAAATAAAAAGAGAAATCACTGAGAGGGTTGCCTGTCACGTGGCCCCGCCCCTCTCCCCCAGTTGGTAGTGAGGGGCAGTGCCGTATGATGGACAGCCCTCAGCCAATCAACAGCGAGGGGTGGGGCAGCCATTATCTTGGGCGGCCCTTTGTGTGGGTAACCCCCCACCCTTCTCTAGTGGGGTGTGCAGCCAAGCCCTCTGGGAAGCCTGTATTTTATTTTCAGCAAGTTTTTTTTCCCATGGATTTCAGGAATTTTGTGGGCGATGCTGCATTTTGTGAGTTGTGCAAAATCACAAGTTCAGTAGGCCACCAGGGCCCCTCCACCAATCAGAGGCATGACTGGGGCCCCACCACGACCAGCCCATTAATACAGCGGCCAGCCCTGCAAACGCCCCACAAAATCAGCTGGCTGCCTCCGTGACTTGGGTAGCCTCCTAATGATATCTGCGCTGCGTAGCTCCTGCTGCAGTGATTAAAAAGGAGTTAGTGTGTGTTAGGTGTTGTGCAAAGGACTGGAGACAAAAAGGCCTATTAAAACCCAACCTCAACTCAACATTTGCTTTTTTAAAAACATTTTCTTTTTCACAAGTCCTTCAGGCACAGCATATTCAGCAGTGTTCATTGTCAATGCTTATGAAAGCTTACTCTGTGTGGGATGCTATAAAGTGTGTGACTAATTGACCCATCCTGCGCCTTCCAGAATTTGTAAGAAATACACATGTGAACTCTGGCCTTCCATTTGCAAAACCAATGTTTCCAAGACAACATTGTTACCCCAACAAGAACAACCACGATTTAGCTGCATGCACTCTTCTATAAGTCTTTATCACATACGGTAAAGTAAACATAAAGCAAAGTCTATGTTTTGTGCCTGAAGTAAAAGAAAAGAAATATGTTTTATGTTTAGACCCAGGAATACATTTGACATGTCCTTTAATACAGTGCAGAAAGAAGGGAAATCCACAATGGCTCGTGGAAAAACAACTGGAATAGGCAAAAGCCTGGCTTGCCAAACTGATTTCTGGCAAAGCAAGGCCGCTGCAACACTGCAAGTTTTGACAATAACAGATGAATAAGCCAGCCAGACAGGCTGTTTGGATTCAGATACCAGAATGCCTTACACAAAAGGGATATGGGGCAATTACAAGACTTGAACTATAATCCTGCAGCTCACTGCTGCCAGTTATAACTTCCTTTGGAAAGAGGACTAACCACCATATTAAAACAGCAAAATGACTATGCTGTGTTTAATTCATGCCACTGCACATATTTGTACGGTAACTTCAAAGCAAGTGTGGACTGAAAATCAGGCCGTGAAATCCTGGCCCTTTTTAAAGATGATGGCGATTGTCCGATTGATGTCTATGGGCCTAATATTTTGGCCCCTGAACCTTGAGGCATTCATCAGTGTAGTCCAATGATAAAAGCACTAGGCAGGACAACTCCACCTGGACCTTTCCTCTCCAAAGCTTCCAAAAGAAAAGCATGTCAGAAAAGCCAATGACTGTTCCTCCCAGGACATTTCACAAAGCACAGGATGTTTTGAAGCAAGAGGCAAAAATCTCAAAGAAAACATATACAGGCAAAAATGCTTCCTAGCAATTCTGTTTCTCATAATTATCTCCTTTCATGCTTCCTCTCAAATGAAAACCATCTTATATTTTATATAATAGTGGGATTATCAGGAAACAGAAGATAAAATGCCGGAGCAGCATTCTGCTCTGTTTAAGGGCCAACATTATCCCCCGCTACTCATTTGACTATTGCCAAAACAACATCTTTATAGCAGCTAGCAGGAATGGAGGTAGAGTGGGGAGAAGTAGTAACTCCAAACAACCAACCATTAGTAACTAATTTGCCATTCCTTGCCAACAAAAAATGGATCTCATTGACGTGGCACAACTATAGCATGGGATAAAAGAGCTAAGCTTGGCACAATTAGACACAGATGCTCATAGCACACTTCTGACCCGCGCGGATTCTGCCACTGAGAACAGATGCAGCATTTTGAAACGCGTGTCGCTGTTACTACAGTGTTGTCGGCATCTGCTTGTTGTTCACTAAAGCTTCAGCTTCTATGTAGCACAGGGGCGGGCGATTATTTTGGGCAGAGGGCTGCTTGCTGAGTTTTGGCAAGCCATCGAGGGCTGCATGACAGGCAGCCAGGGGCAGATAATTATTTATTTTCTAAATATTTTAGGGGTCCCGCGAGCTGGATAGAATGGCCTGGCGGGCCCCCGGGCCGCATTTTGCCCATCCCTGAAGTAGCAAAACCTGCAGCTGGGTCCAATGCACCTCAGTGCCTTAAAACTCAAGTAAGTTTAGGAGCTTGCCTTCAAGAGAATGGGACACGTGAAACAGGTTTACATGGAACAGGGGGCCATCTGGGTCTGTGAAGTGTAGGGGGAAAACTACCCTACTGGAAAAGACTAAAAATCTAGAAAACCTGTAAAATGTGCTACCTATTTCCAGTCTCTATTACCTTGCCATAGACACAATATGGCTCTGGAAAAGTGACCTTAAGGAGCAAAGCTTCAGGCTTTTTCTTCCTACAGGGCCAAAGCTCAAATACACAGTGGCAAATACATTCACTAGGAGGGGTACATGTTTGTCAAAAATGTGAGCAGGGAGGCTATGAGCCATGCCAGCAAGGAGACCTTCAACTAAAATAACCACGTGAGAGTCCCAGAGTCCACAGTGCCCAGAGTAAGATGTAATTACACCATATTCAAAGGTCTTCAAGCATAAGTGACATTTATCCACTGGTCCACCCCTCGTGGTCACAGGGTTGCATCATGCAAAGAGAAACCCACCTGATTGAGAGAGAGTGCTTCTTTGGCAATTACTAAGAACTTCCAAAACTCAACTGGCCCATACCATCATGGTCTTCACAGACCTCATATACCAATAATGGTCTTCACAGACCTCAACAAGTCCCCCTCCTATGCTTATGGAGCCACCTCTAGAAAGTTAGAGTGATTGCTGCCACCCTACTAAGGAAGGAAATTCATGAGAAGCATGGGGATGGTTTTATGACATCAGTCATGTGCTGTGGCAGATAAAGGCAGACATAGTAGATGGGGTGCAAGATACGGTATAGAGGCTTCCTGCAAGGATTTGATGGTCCCAGAAGCTGAGATACCAGAGATGCTGCATAACTCTATAGAATTTCCCACTGGAGGCAATAGGTGAGCATTCCCCAAACCAGGTAATCCCAAGTGTTGATTAAAATAGTCTCTATGCAAAAAGAATGGGACTCTAAATAGGAAGTTGAAAGCAAGGGACTGAGCAGAACAATCAGGACTCTGAGGACACGTCTACACAAGGCGCTTACTGCGCAGTAGCCTAGTAACACTGCACAGTAGCGTGCCAGTCAAAAACTGTGCTAATACACTACTGCACAGTGTAGTTAGGCTACTGTGTAGTAAGCATCACCAAAAAAAAGTGCGTTGGCACTACTGCAGTTACTGTAGTTACTGCACATTTAGTTAGTATTTCATTAAGCACATACTAAACTAAATGCACAGTAACTACTGCGCATTAATGAACGTGTAGACACACCCTGAGTGAAGGAAGTGTACATCTCTGTTTAGTTTGGGAGCGTAGAAGGGTGGAGG